CAGTGTTGCAAAATAGAGAGTGGAAGATGAGGAAGGGGGAGGAGAATGGGGGGGGAGGAAGGGAAGGGAAGGGAAGGAGAAGGGAAAGTTTGACTGGAGATCTTTGGCAAATAGGATCTATGAGATTGTCTGTCATGTTGGAAGCTCCTTCTTAGCTAGTGAAATAATTTCCATCTGTTAAATATATTTAGCAGCGGACTATTGGAAATAACCAAAAGAATAGAGATTTCTGAGGCCATGTGGTAAATCAGAGGCCCCAGAATGCTCCTTCCCTATTGTGTATGCCTCTTAACCTGCCCATCCAGGGGTTGTTATAATAGTAAGCTCTGTGTAATTTAGAGCTGCCAGAAGTTAGTTGTTATTTCTCAAGGGATAAGTAGGCTAGCTTTTCTCATTAATTGATAAAACAAAAAGCAAAGAAAGAAATCAATTCAAATCATGTCATTGTTAATCAATTAAGTTAATGTTCTTGTTAAGCACAGCCATTTATTCATAGACTATATGTCACTGTTATAGTCTTAATTTTTTTTAAGTCTGAAACAGGGAACAAATGCTAGGAAGTGACCTATCTATTGTGGGGGGAAGGGGTGGAATAAAAGAAAAGAGGTGTCCCTGCCTCAAGCTGTTTCCTGCTGTTGTGTGATCCCCTTGACATCCGTGTTTCCTGTGTGCATTGTTATATTCCCAGGGAGCCAATGGAACCACTAGGAGAGATGGACAATGCTTCCTCTTGGGCTTGGTCTGGGAAGAACCTTTATGGAACAAAGAAAATACTTTTCATACATTCTTATTTGAGCCACTGCATCAAAATTAATCACTCACTATCCAAATGAACTTCATATATTTTTGACACGTTTTAAAATATATTTTAAATAGTATGTTTTTTTTAAAAATAATATTTGTAATGAATTGCACTTTGAAATTTTTATATGTGTACAGAATATAGGTAGATCAAATTCTCCTCGTTATTGTCTCTTGTTCCCTTTCCCCTATCCTGATGACACCCTGTTTCCCAAATAGTCTTCTATTTTCATGTCTTTTTTTTTCAGTGTAGCTTTGTTTGAGTCTAGCTTATTTTTCTTAACACAATGGTCTCCAGTTCCATCCATTTTCTTGCACACAATATAATTTCACTCTTCTTTCTGGCTGAATAAAACTTTGTTGTGTATATATTCCACATTTCTTAGAGTGATTCCACAACTTTACTACTGTGACTAGTGTTGCAGTAAACCATTGTATAAGCATATCTACCTTGTGCTAAAGCCATTCTACATCCCCACAATACATGGACACTTTTTAGTAAACCAGTCACAGCTAGAATTGGAGCTTTTGCAAGTTGTCACATCAGGTTTTGCATTTGTCTGTGACAAAGGGACACTATATAAGAAGTTCTTTGCTACCTTGAAAAAGATTTTGTTTTCAGTAATTTTCCTTCTATAACAATAACACAAATCTCTATGAGAAGGTGAATGGGACCGTCTAACTGGGAGTATCTTGGCAAGGTATTGTCTGGTCTGACTGCGGAATAAGAACTGTCTGTACTGCAAGAATGAGCACCGCCCTGCTATTGTTGACAGCCGGCCCTGGAGATGATGTAGCGGATGCTGCTGCCTTTCCCAAGCCAAGGGACACAGCTGTTTAGTCGCTGTTCATCTCAAAATCCTTATCTGTATTTTTAATGTCTTTAGCAGCTGCGATATTTCCTGGTAACTTTTCCTCTACCCTTGGAAAGCACTTTTTTTCCTTCATCCTTTAAAAATATGCCAAAGTCTCCGTCAACTCCATTGTGTTCACAAGGACCAAGAGGAACTGACTTTGTTTCTTTAACTTTTATTACTATATGATGTAATTAGTAGACAAAAAAATGCTTGCCACACAAATAACCAATGTAACAAATAATTACAGAATGAAAACTTGCATAGTGACTCCTGAGATCACGCACAGGCAAGCTGCAACCTGCACCAACCCATACATACATGCACACACACACACACACACACACACACACACACACACACACACACACACCACTGCCTATTACTATTCTAATCTCTGTCCTCATTTCCTGGCTTTTCCTCCTTCAGGGTGCTGAGAATTGAACTCAGGACCCTGTGCATAATGGGCAATTGTCCACTGAGCTACACCTCTCCAGGACATGTATTTATTAGTATTTTTGTATATGGTGATATATGTTTCGCCAAACAACATGGTCCAGTTTTGCTTGAACTTGAACTTGGTATAAATGAATCACAGCAAATATGCTCTATTATGTCTTGCTTCTTTTACTAGGAAACATTGTGGACTCATCCCTGTTTCCCGGTATAATTTTAGTTCATCCATCTTCGTCACAACAGAATGTTGATTCAGTGCATGTTCAAGGCATGCAACCATTTATTTGTCCATTTTATTATTTGCTGATGAAATTGAAGCTGTTCCACATTGCCACAGCAATAAGCACTGTGCTGTAAACATTTTTGTGATTCTGGCACAGGAATGTAGGAGGTGTTCTCGGGTGACTAGGAGCTGTAAGGTATAGCCGTCTATATCCATGGGACCCATAACTATGAATCTAACCAATCACAGATGGGAAATATTTGGGGAGGGGGGGATACATTTGCATTGAACAAGTGCCAACTTGTTTTTCTATAATTATTCCACAGACTTACAACTTCTTACCCAGTATTTACATTGTATTAGGCATTACAAACCATCTACAGATGATTTAAAGTACACAAGAGGCTGGGAATGGGTTAGCTGCAAGCATCATGCCATTTGATGTACTTGAGCTTCCTCAGGGTTTGATAGCCACAAGGGTACCTGGTCCAATTCCCATAGATTACCTAGGGATGACTGATGGTGAAGGTTCAACTCCACTAAATGCTCTCAGCCTTAAAGTGCTGGTCCCAGTGGAGATCCTTAGCAGCAATAATAAGACTCCTCAATGTTTGCTTTCCTGACAGGTGGAGGTGAGGTGCCCCTAGAGGGGTTTAGACCCAGAGCAGCACTGTGTGGGTTCAGTCATTTGGAAGGAGGCTCTTCTCTCAGCGTCCTTCACCAGCCCTTTGGGATACAGTCACAGATCTTGCAATTGAACCTCACTGATGCTCAGAATAGAGCACAGAAAAGGGCCCAAGGGAGCTATCCAGTAGGCCCTCCCACAGGAGGCACGCACAACCTCTGCTATTTTGGGAATTTTAAGTTTTTTTCAAGCAAGGTAATTATTTCTCATTGTAGCTTTATTGGTATCTGATTAGCAATAAGACTGAGGATATTTCAATGTGTCTCGTAGCCATTGGAATTTCTTTTTGTTTTTCTTTTTAATACCCATGTAACCCCTTATCTACTTTTACATTTTACTAATGGACTTGAAAAAATTACTGGTAGATTCTGGATGCCAGTTCCTTATTAGTTACATATTGTGAGAGTGTTTTTTTTCCTGACTGGACTTTATTGTGGACATACTCCTGAAATGAGAGCCCATTTATAAATTAGTAAAAAAATTAAAATAGAGCCAGGTACCAGCTGCTCATCCCTGTAATCCTACTTACACCAGAGGCTAAGATCTGAGTTTGATCACTGAGATCACAGTTTGAAGCCAGCCCAGACAGGAACATTTATGAGTCTCTAATCTCCAATTAAGGATGAACAAGCCAGAAGTAGAGCTGAGGCTCAAGTGGTAGCCTTGAGCAAAAAGCAACTTAGGAATAGCACCCAGGTCCTGACTTGAAGTCCCAGAGCAGTGTGTGCATGTACGAATGCGCTCACGTACATGTGCTCTCTCTCTCTCTTTCTCTCTCTCTCTCTCACACACACACACATTTAAAATAGAATCGTCTTGATTCCAATGTAATTTACAAGGCTTTTGGCAGTAAAATTACTGTTAAGATCAATAGAGAAGGTCATGTTCTCATAATTGCATGTTTAAATGGAAAATCAATTTAATACCTTAATGATTCTGTGCCTTCCTATGGGTTGTAGCTTTGTTATTGTTTCCTTTTTGCTGGTAGCAGGATTTTAAACTCAGGAATTTGAGCTTGCTTGACTTGCTTGCTCAGCTGATACTCTACTACTTGAGCCATGCCTCCAGCACTATAAATTGGTCTGAACTGGCCAAAAGAAAAATCATTAGCTAGTCCTGACTAATTCCTTATGTGGTAACACTTTTATAGTGGAGGGTTTGGAAATTAAAACACAACTTGTTTTCTTTAAAAAAAAAAAAAAAGACAAAACACCTTTTTTTTTTTTTCGGTCTGTTGTGGGGCTTGAGCTCGGGGTCTTGGCACTGTTTTTGAGCTTCTTTTGCTCAAGGCTAGCACTCTACCACTTAAGCCTCAGCGCCACTTCCAACGTAAGTGGTGCTGAGGAACCAAACCCAGGGCTTCATGCATGCTAGGCAAGCACTCTACCGCTAAGCCACATTCCCAGCCCAAAACATCACTTCTTTTATACAAGTAGTCACTGACAAATTTATTAAAACCAGGGGAAAAAAGAGAAAGAAGTTTACTCAGAGCAATCTTGTTATTTAAGCATGCTTTTAGTCATCTCTCTTGTGACCTCCAAAGGTGAGATTACCCAGAATATTGCTAGTATTTGATATGGGTTTGTTTTGGGGGTCTGCTCTCTCTCTCTCTCTCTCTCTCTCTCTCTCTCTCTCTCTCGGAGTATGTATGTGTAAAAGGGTTGTATAGTTTAGAATTTTGTTGTTTATTTAGGTCTCAGGTAACACTATCTTAGCGAGAGAAATATATTAATAGTTCTTGTGGTAGAGTGAAAATAGGATTTTTCTACTATTTGGGAAAAAAACTTCGATTTTACAATTTTAGATGTTTAGATGTTTCATATACCCTTCATCCTGCCTCCTCTAATTTTAAAACTAAATAGTATTTTATCTGAAGCACTCCTTACCCAATAACTAAATTGTTTGGTGTCTCTGCACCTGCAAAGTGCAGATGTGGAGGTTTCCCCTTGATGCAGCAGGCCTACTCTCTTCTCCTCCTTAGGTTACTATAACAACAGCACTAAAGTGGCTGTGAAGACCCTGAAGCCAGGTACTATGTCTGTGCAAGCCTTCCTGGAGGAAGCAAACCTCATGAAGAGCCTGCAACACGACAAGCTCGTGAGACTTTACGCTGTAGTCACCAGGGAGGAACCCATCTACATCATTACTGAGTACATGGCCAAGGGTGAGTGACAGACACCAGCTCCCAGCACCTCTGAGAGGAGACAGACGGAGGGAAGAGTTTAAGTACCTAGAGGAAACTCAAGAGATTTTCATTAAAAAATAGCATACACCTGAAAAAAGAAAACCAGAAACTCTCGAAAAAACAAAGCCTATCTAAAAGCCTACTCAATTTTTTTAAATCAGTTGTAGAGCTTGAACTCAGGGCCTGAGTGCTGTCCTTGAGCTCTTTCACTCAAGGCTAACACTCTACCACTTTGAGCCACAGCTCCACTTAGGTTTTCTGGTGATTAATTGAAGATAAGAGTCTTGTGGACTTTCCTGCTTGGGCTGGCTTTGAACAGTGATCCTCAGATCTTAGTCTCCTGAGTAGCTAGGATTACAAGTGTGAGCCACTGGCACTGGGTTCAAATTTTTATAGCTTTAGCTATAAAGGTCTTTTGCTTCCTTGTTAAGTTTATTCCCAGATTTTTTTTTTTCCTGTAGGTCATGGAGCTTGAACTCAGGGCCTGGGTTCTGTCCCCGAGCTTTTCTTGCTACCACTTTTAGCCATAGCTCTGCTTCCAGTTTTCTGGTGGTTAATTGGAGATAAGAGTCTCAAAGACTTTCCTGCTTGGGCTGGCTTTGAACAGTGATCCTCAGATCTTAGTCTCCTGAGTAGCTAGGATTACATGCATAAGCGACCAGTGCTGGGATTTTTTTTTTGACTGGTTGGGTATTTTCTTTTCTTTTTTTTTAAGGTAATAGGGACCATACTCTCAGCCTCAAACTTGTGCTCTAATACTGAGCTAAAGTCCCAACCCTTGCCTCCAAGTCCATTGCATAGGTACAGTTGAGGCAACCCTACAGAAAGTGACAGGCCAAAGTATTGTTTACCATTAATAGGCTTAGTGAGAACCCCAGCAAGGCCTGTACAGATACTTGTTGGCCTCTCTGTGCAGTATTCTTTCCTCTGTGGCTTCTAACCACGATCCTCAGATTTCAGCTTCCTAAGAGCTAGTATTACAGGTATGAGCCATCAGCACATGGCTGGAAGCTCAAACTTTTTTCCAGGGTTTCTACTCTTCAGGCACCAATGGTATATGCTGGGTTCTGTGCCTTCTGCTGGGTATGGACTGGAGCAAGCCCTGGTGTCTCCTGAGGGCAGGCTCTCTGTGAAGACTTGCTTGCTGAGTGTTTGTTTCCAAGGTGCTTGCTAAATACTAGTACTGCAGTAGGCTAATCACTGTATCAGTGGCAGGTGCATGGTTGTATCCATTTGTGGAGGGAATATTGGTATCACCATCATCCTTTCTCACCTGCACCACATGCTGTGTTTAACATCATGTTAAAGGTAACACTGGAAGGAACTGGGTTTGATCAGTCTCAAGGGAAGGCTTTCTAATCTTACAGAATTGCAAAGTTCATCATTTTGGGGAGTCTTCTCCACAGTAGTAATGATTACTTGGATTTTATTGAGATTTTTTTCTTCTGGTATAGCAATAACCTGTCCTTCCTCTGTACACAGGCAGTTTGCTGGACTTCCTCAAGAGTGATGAAGGCGGCAAGGTACTGCTCCCGAAGCTCATTGACTTTTCAGCTCAGGTAAAGTATTAGAAAGCCCACTATGCGTGTGAACCTGCAAAGAACCCTCCTACTTCAAACTCAGCATGCAGCCTCTGTGCTGGGGAGAAATGATTATGAAAAGAAGAAAAAAAAACGGACTATTCAGAGGTCCCTTCCTCAGAGGGGGTGAGAGTTTCACATAGAATGTGTGCTCATGGCTTGATAGCAACTTCTGTGAGACAAGTCAACTTTTTCATGCATCTGTCACTTCCCACAAGTTATGGAAATGGTGGCTGAATCAAGCTCTTTGTTCAGCATCTTGGAGGGGGTGAGTTTATGTTGTATAAACAAGTATCTTTAGTCATGTAAATGATTCATTCTATATTATAAATCGAGGGGTAGGGGGAGCCAATTTCCAGTGTTTCATGCCTGTAATCCTAGCTACTCAGGAGGCTGAGATCTGATGAGTGTAATTCAAAGCCAGCCTGGCAGGAAAGGCCATAAGACTCTTATCTCCAAAAAAGCTGGAAATGGAGCTGTAGCTCAAGTGGTAGGGTACTAGCCTTGAGCAAAAAAAAGCTTGGGGACAGTGCCTAGGCCCTGAGTTCAAGCCCAAGGGCCAGCAAAAAAAAAATCTAGAAAAAAACATGAACTACATTCCTTTCCTGTTCTTCCCCTTTGTACTCCTTCTTGTTGGGTATGTCCTTAAGATTCTGAGAAATAATCATCCATAATATTTCTTGTACTGACCTAGGAGTTGCCGATTCATTGGCACTAGAATCACTTATTTCCTGAAGCATGTTTAGGAGCAAGGTACCCAGAAATGGGGCAATGCTGAATGATGCCAGTTACTGGCTTTTAACAGTTTTGTTGTGCTTGTTAATCATGTTGAGAAATTTGCTTGATTTGTTCCTCCGTCCTGGCCACACGTGGCTCATGCTTGGTAGGCACCTTCCATAGTATTCCAGGTGCACAGCACAGATGATTTATACACATTCTAAGAAAGGTGGCCTCTTTCTTCAAATGTTCTTGAGTTGGGAAACTCATAAGGCCTTCTTGGGAAGATGAGGTCAAAGGAATGTATGAGAACCCAGGGAATATATTTCAAGGGAACTATGATCAGAGCATAGACCCTACAATGAGGTATTGTGAGCAGAGCTGTAGAGTTCAACCTCTGATAAGTAGTAGGCTTTGTGTCCAGACTGTGCTACCCAGTATCTGTGCTACTTTCAGGAAGTGCTTGGTGTGTGCTTCTTTGAATTAGGTTGTTTGCCTATAGGATAAGAATGGTAATCCCTCCTTTGAGGAGTGTTCCAGGTCAAATCACATGAGCTGGCATGGCATAAGCACCTCCTAGCCAGTGGGAGAGAGGTGGAGACTTGGAGTGGGGGCTGGCTCTATCATTGCAGTGAAGGTCTGTGAGGAAATCACCTGCTCAGCCCTCATCTCATCTGTGTAAATTTGGCATTCTTTGATCCAAGAAGAAAATCCAATTGTGATCTGATATGTCAGGGTCTGATACAAACAGAAGCCAAAATTGTGGTGAAACCTGGGGTGGGGGACAAAGGGGAGCAGTATGTGGAAGGATCCAGCAGTCCTGCCATCTCAATTCCATCCTCAAGCTTTCCATACTGGCCTGAGAGGTCCTGTGATGCTCCAGGAATCCAGGTCCATGTTTTGCAGACCACTGCTTTACAGTGAAAATAACAAGGTTCAGTGTGAATTCCATAATGGAGAAAGCAGCCGTTTGATAACCTTGTGTACCACTTGACATAGATAAATGAGGCCCACTTCTTGGATGGGTGCTGGGGTATCTTCTATTGAACAAGAGACTAGAGGGCTGTGGTGAAGGTTTGTCAGATGGGTCAAGGATATAAAAAGTGGGTCACGTGGTCAGAAGGGCTGAGCAGCCATTGCTGTTCTGAGCTGCCTGAAGAAGGTTTGATCTGTCCTGAAGCTCCACAGGGTAGAAATTGCATACAGTGGGGTGTTTGCTAGACCCAGGGAAGGGCTTTCTTTCATGCATGGAGTTTTTTTTTTGTATTCGATTTTGCCCATCTTATCTCATCAAACATTCACTTGAGATAGTCCAGGTTTTTCGAACTCCGTGGCTATGTTTTAACTTTGTCAGTTATTTCTGTTACTACAAAGAGTAACTTGTTGTAACTTTTAAGTGAATGAAAAAGTTGCTTTCCTGGCAAGCATGATGATCACACTGCCTGGTCCATGTGACTGTGTAATGTGGGTATCCAGCAGATTGAGTTGACTCTGCTGTGGTAGACCTGAGTCCTTGGTGACATTGGTGACAAGAGGGAATAAGGGGGATCAAGTCACCACCACTGCTCTCCATGAAAGCTAGGTGGCCTGTACTGGAGGAACTCTTGGTTGCCTGACCTCGGGTCTCTTTCCTGGCAATGGCCACTGATAGAACTGGTAGAACATCTGAGTAAGTACATTCAATGTCACTGGGAGGTTCCCAGTCAGAAGCAGTCAGGAAGACTCTGACATTTGGGTTCAGTGCAAAATTTACTTTCCCTTCTTTCCTGCTTCACTGTCTCCCTCTCTTTCTTCCTTTTTTTTTTTTGGTTTGTTTTTATAATTTTGGTACTGGGGCTTGAACTTGGGGCCTGGATGCTATCTCCCTTAGCTTTTTTTTAACTTTTTTTATTGTAAAAATACTGTACAGAGGGGTTACAGTTACATGAGTAAGGTAATGAGTACATTTCTTATCAAGCATTGTTACCTCCTCCTTTGTTTTTCCCCTACCAACCCTTTTCTCCCCACCTCCCCAACTCCTTTTTTCCCCCACCCCGAAGTTGTAAAGTTCATTTTCAACATAGTGTCTTATACATGTCATGGTTACAATGGGTCAAATACAGTGAAAACAGGGGTTATACCGTGGGAGAACATACCAAAAACTCAAAAAAAAACCACATAGTACATTATAAATTTGTTAAAAACAGCATGAAAGAAAAAAACCACTTGTATCCCTATCTTGGATTTCAGCTCACTTAACATCATCTTATATGGTCATATGTACATAACTTTTGACCTTTTCTGCTTGTCCTAGACATATACTAGTTATTGCAAATAAGGGAAACCATGGGACCTATGTTTCTTTGGGCCTGCCTTACTTCACTTAATATAATTTTTCCCAAGTCTTTCCATTTCCTAACAAATGGGGCAATGTCATTCTTTCTGATGGAGGCATAGAATACACACACACACACACAAACACATAATGTTTTTTTGATCCATTCATCTACTGAGGGCATCTGAGTTGGTTACATATCTTAGCTATGGTAAATAATGCTGTGATAAACATAGTTGTGCTGGTAGCTTTAGTATAGCCTGCTAGTGATCATTTGGGTAAATGCCCAAAAGTGGGATTGCCGGGTCATAGGGGAGTTCTATGTGGGGTCTTTTGAGGAACCTCCATACTACTTTCCAAAGTGGTTGAACAAGTTTCATTCCCACCAAAATGCAGTAGGGTTCCTTTCTGTCCACATCCCCTCCAGCATCTGTTGTTATTAGAGTTCTTGATTATAGCCATTCT